AATTGTTTCAAAGGGAAAATGAAATAATAAGCAGAAAATGAATGTTAAATGATTTACTAGTTAATTAATATAATTTAAATTTTCTAAATGGCACGGTTTCTTCTTAATTTTGATAAAGCCCCGATTTTTATAATTATAAGGTATAGTTGCGCTAAGATTTGTCTTGCCAATTTTATTAATTACGTGATAAAAGCGTTTTCGCCCTCTGGTTGTGGATAGCTACGCAAAAAATTTACAAAAATAGCTTCTCATATACGACTCATTTTTATCTGTCATTTTATTCCAGGAAGAAGAAAATAAACATTTTATCGCGGCAAAGGATCATGTTGCAAATGATGGTAATATTGATATTATTGAACATAAAGGTGAACTTAGAATCCATTTTAAAAAGTTTTATATCAGAGTCTAATTTATTTAAAAAATTAACTAGTATTTTCCATTGCATATTATTAATGGATATTAAATAACAATGAATCGAGCCATTAGTCCCCAGACCAGTGGAAGACATACTTGGCTTTCGGTATTATTTATTGAAACCGAAATAGCGTATTAAATTAAATTGTCCAAGAGTTTGCAATAAAAAGCAAGAAAATTGTTTTTTAATGGCTTATTAGCATATTGAATGTAAATAAATAAAATAGATATTTTAAGGATTTGTAAAAGGTGATATATAAAATCTTGCATAAGGGCAGCAGATATCTTAGTAGCGAACCTAAAAGACCTTTAAAGGGCAAAACATTATACCCCCAAAACATGTATTAAATAAAATAATTCTAGAACCCCTAACTTATAATTAAAGGTTGGAAAACATAAAAGGTAGTGTGTTATATACATATATGTATATTATACTTATTTTGGAGTAAAAAAATACCTTATATCTATTTAAAAAAGAAAAAAAAATTTTAATAAAATTAAAATTAAAAAGTTATATTAATATTTATAGATTTAAAATTGTGTTCCCATAAAGGAATCAAAATTATATTTTAAAATTTTGATTTGCTTTATAGACGAAAAAGAACCTTTAGTTGGTGTGACTATTGGAATGAAAATAAAATTGTTTAAGATACTTATAGTTTTTTGGTTTTAGCCTGAGTAAGCGGATTGATGTTAGTGTTTGAAGGGGATGTAGAAACCTAAATATAGTCCCATATTAAAGATCTACCGAGGGCCCACAGGATGGTTGTCAACCATCAGGTCTTAAGCAGTCTACATATGATAGGGTAGTGAGCTCAAGATGGTTGGATTTGAGCCGCTGTTAATTTATTGATGACGTTTTTTATAGAAGTGGGTTACCTTAACTATATACATAATTTAGAACGTGTCTGCATTTCGAGTCTACTGGTTTATTGTATTTGATAAAAATGTGGGAAAGAACGATGCCACCTAGTCGTAACCCGATGGCTACTCTCAATTGTTCAAATAATAAGAGGTTGTCAAAGTTATGACTAAGGAATGCTAAAATAGGCTCAAATCGAGCCATTTGACAACACTAATTCTTTGCTTAGGGTAAATCCAAACAGTCTTCATATTTAAAAATTATTTGACTTTGAGACTTGAAATTTATAACTAAAATAGGTTTCATATAAAAAAAAATTTTTTGAGGAAAAAAATCAACTTCGGACCCTTTGGAAAAATTCTATTACAAAAAAAAACCTCTAATAACTAAAAGTTAAAATAAAAGTGTGCTAGATTTATTTCGTCAAAATTAATTTAAGTTTTACACTTTAAAATTGATACTGTGAACAACTTATAACCCTTAACAAATATAAAAAAGAATTTCAAAGATTTTTAACAAGGATTTATTTGTATCTGATCGCATTTATATAGTTACACCCGGGATATGCCAGACTAGGTAATTGCCGGACACTATAAATGTTTTCGTCATTCACATTTTTTTTTATAATTTATTAAAAATGCGAAAATTTATAGAGTAAAATAATCATAAATTTATTACTAATAAAGATTATTACAAAATTTTAAAATTGGACGAGTACAAAATTCTAATAAAACCATATCAAACATTAGGTCAATGATGGGTCTCAAGGATTATTAAATTCATTAATAAAGTTTATTTATATAATTATCGATTTTAAAATCATTTTTTATTAAAATAAATCCTATAAACATTTGTCCGTTTCCGGTTGTATCCGGGATATACCCCGGGCTCGGGGGAGATACGGACATCTTGTTAAATTCGTTTTGGAGAAATAAAATGCTTAAGGCAAAAATTATTTAGCATAATGAAATTCATGTAGTTATGTATAATAAAATTCATGTAGGTAGGGTAGGTAATCTATATTTGAGATCTGCAATAAGTGGGTTAAATATTTTAAACATAAGGTTAGTTGGTGGGCTAAAATTACTTTAAATTGGGAGGATGGCCTGGTGAATTTTAAATTTTTTTCAAGCGAAATTTACAAATTATTTTTTATTTCATAATATTGCATATTTTATAAGTTCAAGTAAAAATTTATAAAAAATATAATAAATAAAAAGCCAAAGCAATCAATCAAATATTTTTGAACATTGGACAGGCGGGCGGTTATAATAATTTTTTAGATAAATATTTGGGTGGTTTATTTTTTTTTATTAAAAAACTAAGGATGGGTGGACGAGAGGGTTAAATTGTTCTAAACAATAACGGGCGAGCGTTTTGGGTGCGTGCTCATTATACACCTCCATTCAATGGAATACAATTACCGTATAATCCAGGTCTTTAAAATTTAAAAAAATGCGCACTCTAAAGGATTTGAATTTTAAAGATTTGCTAACTCCGAAGACATATATATAGTATAATATAAGTATCTAATTTATCAAACAATACTCAACAGATAAGGTTATGGATAATTTAATTAATCGTGCAAAAAAATCAAAATTATCTCTTATTTTAAAATTTATATTAAAATAAAATATTATATCAACAAATTTAATTTTACTCATAAATAATTTATGCAAATATATGCAAATTAACTATAAAAAAATTAATTTTACGATTAAGTCATAATGATTTACGGATAATTAACATATATATTTTTTTATATATCTAAATTTCGACATTTAAAAATTTTAAAATTGACACAAAACCTTTTTTGATTTTGAAAAGAGAAAAAGGTTTGAGAAAAGTTTATAAATTATAGGATATCATTAGGTATAAATAAATAAATTATATTGATATGATTATTTTAAATTAATACACCATTTTCTACAATTTTTTTTTGATTCGTTGAAATTTTTTTTAAGTAAGGTTTAAATACGAAGTTGAGAATATTTCCATTTTATGTTTACACTTTAAAAAATATTTTATAAAAAAAAAGTACATGATAGAAATTTGGATAAAAAATTTAATTGTTATAATTCGTTAATTATGACATCAGATCTTACCCTTATTTGTTCAAAACCATATAGGTTAAATCGATTTTTAATGATGGGGTGGGGGGGGGGAGTATGATTTAAATATTTATTATAAAGGATTAATTATACGCATAACTATGTATTATAGAAGTACATCTATTCTAAATATAAATATATTTAAAAAATTATTATATCCTTACAGTGTAATGGGGAAAAAAATAACGGGGAAAAAATCGGGAAAATTAACCCCGGAATAGGAGAAAAAATGCCCCCTAAAAACATCACAAAGAAAAAATCCGGCCAAATACCGAATTAAGGCTAAAAAATCTCGGAAATAAAAAAAAATTAAATAAAACTTTCAGGTAAAATCAAACAAGTATCATTTGGATTTTATTTATTCTTGAATCAAAGTAATGCCTGATTTGGGCAAGCAATATTTACTCAGTTTTGCTTAATTTCACAGATATGGGATAAAACGTAGAACGTAACTGAGGGGTTTTTATCCGTTTCCATTTCTTTCTTAGAGGCTTTGAGAATTTTGGGGGGCGGGGAAAATTTTTGCAGAATAATGAGAATCCTGGATCTTCTTTAAAATTATACAATCAGATCGAATTATGGTGTTTGTTCCGTCGAAACTATCTAAGTTTCCCAGTAACTCAATGATATATCCGTCTTATTTTTTATCCCTATATTTAAAATTCTATATTTTTTAAATATCTTAGTTTAATATGTTTTTAACACATGTTTCATTTATAATATATTTTTTACAATGCATGATATTTAGAGTTTCTAATTTGGAAAATAATTTAAGGAAGAAAAAAAATATAGATATTATATGTTTTTATATGTCGTATTGTGATATGGAAAATTCTGAATCTCTTAATTTTAAATCATTTATGGAGAAGAATTTAAAAAAATTTTGAAAAATCAATAAAAATTATTGTAAATTAAGGAAAATTCTAAAGTTCATGTAGAATTATTTGAAATTCGTAGTGTTGGGTACTCTATAGTTGGAATACATTTGTCACAAATTTTTTTAAATTCAAAAATTGTCCTTAATATATGGTTTAAAATCGTAATATTCCGAATCTTAAGGACTTCATATCCCAATACGCTGGGATGTTCCTATGCATGGAGCCTAAAAAATTTATAATTTTCGCATATAATTAAAAATTATTTTTAAAAATACAAAATTTCTTGTTATATTATAAATATTAAAATTGCTCAGCAATTTGCATGTATTGACTTCTCAAAAGTAGCCGAATCTCTAATTATCTATAAAATTTAATTTTATAGTAGTTTTAACATTACTCTCAAATAAATATTATATAGAATAGGGTTTCTTTATAAAAGATAATTATTAGATAATTAGAACTGCTATTATTCTTTATTTTTGAAAAAATGCAACATTATTGGTGACATAAATTTTTACACGTGATCCATATATAAAAATAGACGTATATGAATAATATGATTTTATATTATGGTAAAAAAAATTAACCATTAAAGATTAGTAAAATAATCAGAACCCTTACAGGAACACCATGTAAACCCCTTTATTCATTTGCCCACATTATAAATATCAGACAAAACTATTCATAATTTATATTAATTTTTTATATAAATTTAAAATATATACAAAAAATCAGATTTTTAAATGATAGAAATCCTCTTGGCCAAATGATTTAAAGTTCAAGTCAATACAAAATTAAAATGCTACCGTCAAATAATGCGATCAGTCAATGCGTCTATTAACTAAAAAAAATCAGGCAATACACGTATTGATTGTTTAACCACTTCAATTTGTGCTTGACTGAGAAGATCAAAATACGCGTATTGCTTCAAATTTCTCAAAATAATCACAATTGACTAAAAATGTCTTAAGACAAAATTCTCAATAAATATATTAATTAATTTTTTCCTCTTTTCTTTTTCTTGATAAGTATATTACCGGAAATATTTTGAGATAATAATTAATTAAATATTTGTATTATTTATTGTATTATTTATTATATTATTCAACTTTGATTTCATATTTTTAACAAACAATACTTTTATATTTAATAAAAAGTTTAATATAAGAATTGACTGAAATATTTTTTATAAGAATATGTCAATAAATAAATAAATTCATTCTTTTTGCTTTCTTTTTCTTATCCTATTCTTTTTACTTTTCTTTTACTATTTCACATTTTATTTTTTTTATTTTTCTGTTTCGTTTTATTGCCATTCTTTTTCTTTTCTGTTTATTTTTATCTTTTATTTCTTTTGTTTCGTTTTATTTCTTTTTGCTATTCTATTTCTTTTTATTTCTTTTTCTTTGTATTTATTTTTCTTTGTATATCTTTTTCTTTGTATTTCGTTTTCTTTATATTTCGTTTTCTTTGTATTTCTTCTTCTTTACATTTTTATTCTTATTCTAAATTTTGGCTCCAATTTGATCATTAAAAATTAAAACTAAGTTAAACTCTCACAATATATAGACACTTAATGTTTGGAAAAAATTTCTCAATGCTCAGATAAAAAAAATTAAATTGCCGAGAAAAAATAATACTTGGTCAAATATATAACTGAAATGCTCAGATTTAAAAATGAATTGCTAAGAAATAGACTAGTAATAATGATAAACCCATAAAATATATTTAAAACTGGTTTATAACCATATAGTGTATCATTGAGAGGTAGGTTTTCGAATCTAAATGGGACCTTATTTTGGAGCTGGATAACAAAAATTTGGATTTATGACAAATCCGAACCCGATATTTCCCAAAACCTGGATACAGATCAATTTTGGCAGGTTTGAGACCCGTAAATAACATAATTTTAAATAATTTGGTCCAACTGATCCGATCCGGAAATTATTTTAAAGGTCTTTTCTAATCAGAAATTTTACTTTCTAAATAAATCTGAGTCTGACCTAATTCGAATTTTTATATTTATATTGAATAATTTTATATTTCATCGAAATCTGAAAAATTAAAAGCGCTGAAGGATAAAAACAATTTTATAGTTATTCTTGAAATCAGAAATAATTTAAAACTTTGACGACGATTATGGTCCGGTATGATTTTCTTGTAATCAAGGTCAGAATCAAATCGATTCGGAAAAATATCAGTCCTTATCCGACTAATCCTTCTTCGATCGAATTGGACTTGAATCAAATTCTTAGGCTATGATCGGTCAAAAATTTTTTTAAAAAAATATCTTGCCATAGATCTTAAGTGAAATAAAAGAAAATCTTTTAATCAGAGTTCTAGATCCGACATAACTCTGGATTCCGCACGTTCCAGGTTAAAAGATTCTAGAAAAATAGAATCGGTCAAAGAGAGCCAGACAAGCCAAACACATGTCTAACTTAATCTGGGTCGGTCTAGATCCGTATAAATAGGAATAACTAATTTTCCCAAACTCTCGATGGAACTGAAGGAGATATTTTCTTATTTTCTAAAAAATAAGATTGAAAAGCTGTATTTTAGATTCGAAAAAAAGTGCCGTGAGCCGGGGCTCTAAGATTAGGATTCGGTAGAGAACGATTTAATGTAAAGATGGTAATAACCCTATTTTACATATATATAATTTTCTTGTGGACAATTCAAGTATTAGAAGGAAAGAAAGAATTGAAATGTGACAAATTCATTGACATATCAGATTAATATTACTTTGTTCCGGTTGCAACTTTTGGTCCTCAAGATCTAATGAAAAGTGTATACAGATTAATTCTGACCAAAAAGAGGACAAAAAAATAGTTCCAACTTTGCCAAAACTTGCAATCCAGGTCATCCAAATTTTCATTGTCTCAACTCATTTTCCTCTTTACTCTTTTTTTATCTCTCTCCTTTTCCCTCATATATAATTAATTGCAGAGTTGCTAACGCTCCTTTTTAAAAGTAACTAGCCCCGCTACTAAATTTTTAAAAGGAGCTAGCTCCCGATCCAAATAATGGAGTGCTACTACATAGCCGCTCCTTTGATTTTCATTTTTTTTAGAAAGTACGTGAAGCAAAATCATATTTTTTTTATCAAAAAAGTTTTACTCATATTAAAATGATATATCAAAATATTTATACTTTTATTAGCTTTTAAAAGGAATAAATTTTTTAAAATTTGAATCTATTTATCAAATATATTAATTTTGATATCATTAATTAAAAAATATTTGTTCAATATATTATCTTCCTGAAATCCAAAAATAATTATAGCCATTTAAAAAAATATATAGTTAACATTTTGTATTTAAAAGAAAGATTTTTTACTTTTAGATGCTATATTAGGTTGAAGCTGCTCACTTTAGAAAATTGAAATAGTTTTATTTACACATAATAAACATTTGGCCTTAATATTCGTTTTGTTAGGATCATTAGGATCCAACTCTTTTAGAAGAGAAAAATATTTTTTGTATGATGGAAATGGAAATATAATTTCTTCTTCTATAATGTCTGGATACATAATATCAAAAACTATTTTTTATCATATAAAATGAATATTAATATGACTTACAAGATTTTCCAAGTCTATAAAAAAAAGAAAAACTTGTTATTTAATATTTTAACTGATTAGATGAAAAACCAATATAAAACTCGGCTCAACATTTAATATTGCATAAATTTAAATAAAATTAAATTTCATTTATATTGAATTTTAATTAACAAATAAATCGATTTTATATTTAAAAAATAATTTATAAATTTAAAAGAGCGATAAAGCGGTGCTCTTCCACTCCAGCCCTAAAGGCTATCTCCTGCTCCTGATTTTTAAAAGGAGACAATTTTAACATGGAATACAGGCCTGGTCGTGGGAATCTTATAGCCTAGTCACTATCTAGTTACCGTTCCACGATATCATACCGAATCAATACACAAACACTCATTGGCGATTCGTAATATTAATTTAGAGGATATGCAGATTTCAGAGGAAACCTGCGCAGGAATAATTCGGTACAAGATCCGATACTAAAACGAGGGGCACTACATATTGAAAGAAAGAATAGTCCAAGATAGGAAGGGTTTATATTAATATGTATAGAGAAGTCAGATCTCATACTGCGAAAATATGCAGATCAGAGGGACCATGTGGTAGCGAAGCAGCTAAACGGGGATGGCGGGCAGCAATCAGAGGGAGGGGCATGAGCTACCAAGACGAGGGCGGTCACACAAGCCACCAAATGAATTATTGAAAAGATGTAGGCATTACTCTCAATTAATAAAGGGGAAATGTAGTAATGTAGGAATATTGTAATATACTATTTATACATTATTAGTTATTAACTTCGTCTATGGTTATAATGAATATATATATTTGTGATTAATATATTATTAATTGAGGTTAACTATCTAACACTCATAGCATAATTATAAATTCCGCAATCGATTCTATATGATTAACAGCCTTGTGTAACCGGTGCATGTATAGTTTAGTATAAGCGGATTAGTTTATTAGGTTTCTAGATATATTGGGTAGATGTGTCAAGGTGGGTCCCTTTTTCCATTCAAAAAATTTTCAAGAAAATCTGTGTTAATAAGAGAAGATGGAGCTCAGTAATATATAATAAAGGTTTGAATATTGTTATAAGTTCAATAGTTGGAGATTTTTGAGAGGAAGGACACGTTATCCCTTTGCAACTATGTTTGTATAAGAGATTGACCTTTATCCTTAATTTAATTTTTCACAATTGTTACAAATTGTTGACATTATTTGTTTTTTAGAAATATATAATATTACAAAAAATAATAATTTCTTTGCATGACCATGTGTTTTAATTTCATGTTTCATGTTTTGGTATGTGCAATGTGAAAGTGGAACTAATGATAGGAGGAGCCGGTAATTTGGATCTTGTACATTTAGACAGACTAAATTGATTATCACGGTTCTCAGCAAGTAAATAATTGGATTGGTTTATGAAAGATAAAACTATTTAGATGTTTTAATATTATAGATCATTGATTTACAAAAATTATTTGACTTCATTCTTCAGCTGGGAAGATAGGTGAAAACTAAATTTTAATTAAATTTGAAGATCTGGGACAGGTTTCAGCGGGGTGTGTATTAGCCATTTTTAAGCAGGATTTATTTTTAATAAAAAAATCCAACTATATTTTTAGAAACACTAGAAGTCACCAGTTTGTCTATAGTCACAATGACAATATGAAGAGGGTTGACATATTTTTTTTAAATTATATTACAGTTTTAAGTGCCAGCAATTTCTTTCGGATGATATAATATGGATGAACTTGGTACATTTTACATATTTGACAATGTATTTTCATTTATTTACTAAGGATTAACATGTTTATATAAAAAATTAAAAAATCTAAAAATAAAGAAGTGCTATAATATGCACCGCAAAAGGACAAAATGTATACCACATGTGTTTTTCATTTTTCTTAAATTTTTATTTTTTTAAATTATATACTAATAAAAAAACTAAAAAAGGATTTTTCCTAAATATTAATTTCTATTATAGAGATATATGTAAAGAATAAAACTAAGTTTAGATATTTATAAAACTTTGCTTCATTTATTTTTTTATAGTACTTCAATTTTTTATTCACAATATAACCCAGTCTCTCCTATACTAATTGCCCTGAATAAGCATATTTTATTTCTAGAAAGAATTTACTTTATATGTGTCTTTGCTGTGAAGCTATTTTTTAAACTAAAATAATATTAAAAAAATTTTGTGATTTGTGGGTTAACTCTGATATTTGATCTTAGGTCGTTGGAAAGTAAAAAAACACGACTTTTACTTAATCCTAAATATCGCTCACAGTATGAAAAGTAAAAACCTTCAGTTT